TTTTTTTTTTTTTTCTTTTAGTTTACGTATCCCTTCTTTTTTTTTTTTTTGAAATTCCCACACTTCAATTCTTTTTCCAATATATTGTACTATATTTTTATTGAAACAACTCCACCCTCGGGTAGTTAACGAGTTGACGTAAGTGTCTAAGTATTTATGCTCAAATGCAAGAATCTGTCAAGCTCAAAATAGTTAGTTTATGCTCAAACTTATGAGTATTTGAACAAACTCAAGCTTATTTGAGAGTTTGAGTATGAGCTCGAATCCTCAATTGAGTGAGTACTTGATTTTGAATTCAAGATTTTTTCTTCCAATTTCAAATTAATTGATTCAATAATTAATCATTCAACCATAAAATTTTGGCATTTTCTTTTTAGAAATATTGCATTACCAAAAGCTTAAATAAGAGGATTATATTAAGTCTTCTTATTTAAGGCTAACAATAAAAATCCAAAAACTTTGTTTGAACATTTTTATCAATAGTTCTAAAAAGCTCAAAATATGTAAATTATTTAAGTTATGATTTTAGGTTTGTTAAGTTTATGGTAATGTCATAGCCTCTGGTTACAATGTTATGTAAAATTGTAAGCTAACAATCAAGTTGTGTCATACTAACGATCTATTGGTCTGAGTGGAAAGAGCTCGATTCTCTTTAAGTAAGATATCGAGTTCGAGTGTTGTGAATGGAGAAATAGGCACTATGAGAACTTCTCTTATGGGGTCCGATGCGATTTGATTCTGAATTAATTAGGATCCAATGTAATTACTAAATACTGGGAGGTTAATACCAAAAAAAAAAATCAAATTGTGTCATTAAATGAGTGTAAGTATTATTAAATGAATAGATAAATACAATATTATCGGTGGATCCCTAAGTGTAAATAGTCAATTACATAATGATATATCATATTGTAAACTTGTAATACGATGTGACATTATAATTATATCATTTTCCTATGAAGTATTACAACCAAAATGGTGAAACTATGTATAAAATTCATCTAATCAAAATGAAAAATCACATTTTTAATATCCAATTTGAGATTCTTAAAAATAAAGAAATGATATTTAGTTAATTACATATACATAACTCACATCAAGGGAAAAAAAAAAAAAAGGAACAACATTATAATAATAAAACATAAATAAATAAGAGATGCTTGTCTTCTTTGCATTGTTATACATTCAAACATCACCTAAAGTCATCATTAGTCCATGATGTTTGCACAACCACATTTACACAACACTCACAAGTCATACCCACATCCTTCATAGTTTCACCCCTTTGATTAAATACTTTATAGATTTTCAAATTGAGTATCAAAGATATTTTTGGGATAAGTTGGTATTAAAAACTTAATTTTATACTTTGATTATATAATTTATATGTTTTAGTTTACTATTTAATGTTGATTTTATTAATATTTGAATGAGTTATATACTTAAATGAGATTTTATATAGCAAATTACATAGTTTTTATTATTTGTCAAAAAAAGGACTGAAATGCATGAAATTAAAAATTTTGAGATTTAAGTGCATCTCTTTCAAAAGATTGGGAACTAAATTGCAATAAAAAAGTTCACATTAAGGATTAAATTGAAAAAATTTGAACTTTAAGGATCAAAGTGCACAGACTCTGAAGTTAAGGGGTCAACTGTGTCATTTACCATTAAATTTGGAGGATTTTAACTGATGACAGTATAGGGATTACGGTTGGCCCTTTCTCTAAAGTTGAGGGATCATTATGAACTGTTTTAAAGTAGAAGGATGACAATAACTCTTTTAGTTGAAGGGTTTTTAGGGGCATTAAGCCTAATTTAAATTGTAATAAATATATAATATAATTTTTTTAATGCTAAATTGACTAGCTCGCAAGTAGGCATGTGAGTTTGAGCTTAAGCTTGTTTCTTTATTGACCCTAATATTGAGCTTGAATTAAACTCATTTACTGAATGAATTGAGTTTAGTTTGAGTAGCTCATGGGTTATTCACAAGTTATTCTACTCACATTCCTACTCTACTCATGGGAACAAAATCCCACTTCACTTACATTTTTCATAAGATTCAGGTCCACACACATACCCATTATCGCTTTGTTCACACCACCATTCAAATTTCAAAACATATTACCATCTCCATTCAACTTTGGCATCTTATTTCATTAGAGGGTAATTTTATTAGAAAAGTTTTTGTTAAAAAGTGATTAGAAAAAGTATTGTACACAATTGCCAAAAATAAGTATTGTAACAAGGTTGGATATTGTACAAAAAATTGATAAATTTTATAATGAAGTTTTGTTAAAATTTTGTTGTGTTGTTAATTTTTATATGTTTGATTAAACATTGATATAAGAAAAGTTGGTAGGAAATTGTTTTATATAAGGAATGTTAAGGGAAAACTTTTCCCCTTCAAAAGTGGAGAAAGAAAAGTTCATGAGTTGAAAATATTTTTAGGGAAAACAAAGATTAAAAATGCTATTTTTACAATTTTTTTTGTAGTAGTATTAAGCTGTGAAAATATATAAATAACACTAAAAATCTAAGGGAAAAAGTTGGGGGGAAACTTTCCTCCGAACCAAATGTGTGCCCTTGTTATCTTGATTTTATTTTATTTTTTTAATTTTTTAGACATTAATTTTAGATAAAAATTTAGGTTAAAACCCTATTTGGTCCATAAACTATTATATGGATCCCTAATTTGGTCCTTAAACTAAAAAAATCTCTAAATTTGATCCCTACTATTTACCAATTTGGCCCCACTTGGTCCTTCCCTTAAAAACCTAGTGACATGTCTCGTCAACTAACAAGAGCACGATGACATGTCAAAATATTGTGACACGTCAACTGTACTCATGGAAAAAAGATGATGTGTCATAAAAATATGTTAGATTCTCGATTAGCAAAAAAATAAAATGTGGGGCTCACCTCTTGTCCAAATTCACTATCTTCTCCCCTTTCTTCCCATTCAAACCCTAGAAAAGTAGAGGGCAAACAATACTAGCAGCCACCGTTGGGTTCCTTGGAACCTAGGCATTGGGTTCTTTTGAACCCAGCGCGCCTAGGTTCAACCCCAAGGGCAAAAAATTAAAAAAAAAAA